CTCATGTGCCTTGAAATGATTGCTAGTCAGACTCAATTGCTAGTCTCCACAGTCCTGCAGTCTCATACCGCCAACCTAAAATGCTCTGCATCTGCAGGAGAGTAGGGCTCCACCACTCACACTATCACGTCTCCTCCCCTTCTTGGAGACTCTCTTAGCCACCATAGCCTAACATTCTCCCTCTACAATATCAACTAATCATCATTTACAGAGTTCATTAACCAGTCACTAACAAACCACCTCATCCATAATAGTATTACATATCATATTACAATTATTGGCACATCCCAGTTTAGTAATACATCCTCAAAGATACACACACAACCTCAACAGTGTTCTGTGTTCTGGAACATTCTGACTAGAATAAATATGAACACATATTTGCTGAGAGTGCTCAGGGGAGTACATCTCAATTTCTTTGATGTGGTGGTGCACATGTTGAGTCTCCATGTGAGAGGAAAATAGGCAGTGCTCCCCAAATTGATTTGTCCTTTAGGGGAGCACACCTACTAACATCCATTCCAACACATTCAGAATTGCTAAGCTAATCCAGTTGCTGCTCAGTTCTATCAGCTGGACACCAGTGAGAAGAAGCCAGTTTATATGTGGGAAACAAAGTACACCTGCTTTGTTTTCTAATGTCACCCACTGGCGGACACTTTAAAGCAGGCAACACTAAAAGAGAGCAAAGTATATGCGGGTTCAAAATGTTTAAGCTGGCTAGTTTCCTGAAACTGTTAAATGTTAACGTAAAAAAACAAATATAGTTGAGCTAGTGCAGCGTCACAGGGATTCTTTGTTTAAGAACAGTCTCAGGAAGTCTGAGAATGGTGTTTCTGGACTGGGTTTTGACTCTCTGTGACCCAATGGCAATAGTGACAACCAAGGAGAAATGAAATATGATAATTATTGTTCTATAATAGACTTAAAAAGGGGACAAAGACACCAGGGAATTACTGCTGAGAAAAGTAAACGGCAGTGACAAGAAGGTGAAGAGGGGGAGGGGAGCGGACAAGACAAAACAGCAAAATTTAAGTCCGGGGTCCCCAAGGGAAGAGATTTACCCCAGACCTACCAAACTCCATTCTCCAGAGGGAGGGGAGATGGAGGTTGAGGGAATTTGTAACAGCCAAAATATATGCATCAAGTTATGGGGAGGAGTTTCAAAACAGAAATGTTCCTGCTAAGTGGGAGAAACCATCTAAAAGAACTACCGAATCTTAAGAACGGCAACTGGTCCTTCACCAAGTGTTGCTTCCAGTCAGGAAGGCAGGCTTAGGCCTTCTGTTCTATCTTCTAAAACATTAAGTGGTACACTTGAGTTTTTGAATAGGCTTCCGATTTACTGGTAAGTTTCCCCACTGTTAATCATTTTATTGCTAAAACAAAGCACAAATGGAAAGCTGAGATAAAGTTTGTGGGTGAGCCGGATTTCTTTTGGCATAGCAACATAAGTAGTGAAAGTGTTGACTGACCTCATATATCCAGGTTTGGGTGCTGCATTATATAAACACTATTCCTTCCTCAGGAGCCCTCCTGCTTCAAGCAGGCTCCTGGTGACTTCCTGATACAAAGTAGTTAAAATGCAAGACAACAATCTAGGTCATAGCAAGTCATAGTAAGATCTCTCTGCACAGGTTCCTCTGTAATGTGGGAAACAAGGGAACAGGCTTCAAATTGAGTCTACACAATGTTAAATGCTATTTGATCCTGTCACCCCTGCTCATGATGCATAGCTGCTGCAGAATGCTATAGGTCACTGCCAAGGCCTCCAGAAGGTGTGGAAGGCCTTGGTTAAGTCTGACCACCATGGGTCAACTGGCATCAGGTGCACTCCACACTTCCAGAGGAAACATTACTAAACACCCATCTTAAATGTGCTTACAGATGATTTTTACCTGCCCCATAACCGCACAGTTCCAGCCATCAAGGCCATGTGCAAACTTTCCACAAACATCCAAGAGCCTCAGAAAAGGAAATAAAATACTTGTTGGACTTAACCCATCGTATTAGTTTATTTTCTGTTGTGTGATAAACATCACAACGAAAAGCAACTTGAGGAAAAAAGGATTTATTTGGTTTACATGTCCCAATCATAGTTCATCATTGAGGGAAGTCTGTGCAGGAACTCCAGCAGAAACACAGGCGTGATCCATGGAGGAACACTGCTTACTTGCTCACTGTGGCTTATTCTACTTGCTTACTTAAAGAAGCCAGGACTACCTAGACAGGGTGCCACCATCCACAGTGGGCTGGGCCCTCCCATGTCAATCATAAGCTAAAGGATGTCCCACAGATTTGCCTACAAGACAAGAGGAGTAATTCCTCAGTTGAGGGTCCCTCTTCTCAGGTAACTAGTTTGTGTCAAGTTGATAACCAGCACACACATATAAGGATCGCCAACTTCTCTAAACCATAGCATGATCACCATGTCTACCAAGTCTCTAGAGACTAAGGACTTGAAAGTAAGAAAGGGCATTCTTTCTGCTGTAAAATTACTCAATTGAAAAGAGCAGTCTTATCTTTCTGTAAAATTATCCATTTGAAAAGGAAGTAGAATTGTTAAAACTAGGCAAGGGAAGCTGCCACATGTCCTGGAGTTTAAAACACTTAAAGCAACTTCCTAAAGCTCCTGGAAGAAACCCTGTCTCCACTACAAAGAACTAAAATCCTGATAATTTGGAACAGCCCTCATCTCTTTCTCCCCCTATACAAACGGGTGATTCTATAGGCACGGCCTGAGGAGCAGCCTTAGTACCATCTGAATCTAGTTACAAGTACAAGCTGCTGTAGCTCTGCTCTAAACTTAGAGAATCAGAGACTGGCAGAGGAAGCCAGCAGTCTGTGAGTTAGCAAGGCCTAATGTTCACATTTGAAAATCTCTGCTCCACGCTCCAGGTGTATTTCTGGGGACACTTGGGAGCCTCATTAAATCTTAGTTAACTGGTTGGCATGTAATCTCTCCTGTCCTTGCCTCTTAAGTAGGTTTTTAATCTCACACACTGATTTCACCAACGAGGAGTGAAGTCCTTAGTTCAAGGTCACCATGAGAAGCCAAGTAGGAGCTGCATCCCAGACTTGCTGATTTCCTCATCATCCTGAGATCACAAAGGAAAGTCTTGCTGACTCAGACAATTCTGGGACCCAGAACTGTGAAGGATGCTAAGGCAGGTTCCGTGATCTCCTCCATTTCACTGCACTGCCTCCCTCAGACAGAAAAGAGGGGTTTCCAACCCATACAATCAAGAGAAGCTGTGCAGGTGTGTAACTAGCTGTTTCCACAGATTTCAGCAACAAAACCTTGTAGTGAGGACTGCGTAGTAAAGGGGTGGGGGGAGACCTGGCTGTTTGTTATAACCAACAGTAAGAGACTTTTAAAAACTGGGTGCAGTGCACCGAGACAAAACCTAAGCCATAGACACTTCTTTATGTTTTCTTAGCTCTCTTCCTTTTCATTATGTCATTCACGTCTCACAGTGGAATTGGAGATAGGGTCACCATCTTCTCCCATTTATTAGAAAAGCAAAACAAGCAAACAACTGAAATTCCAAGTGGCTAATACCTTGTCCACAGGGCCTGTCACCAGGGAAAACTTGAGCTCAGGTCTGTCTGACTCTAGAACCTGTGTAATATAACTGTACCATGGGGTCCCTACAGCTGCAAATCTTCCCCAAATGCACAATCCCCAAGAAAAACGCAAGAGAAAAACACGCAGCAGAAATGGTGAGCTTCTAAAATACCGGCACTTCATCAGAGTTAGAGTTCCTTTAAAAAACTCAACACACAAACCCAGCAACCAAGGTGTTCAGCCAAAAGAGATGAAAGGAGAAAAGGAAAAAAGAAGGAAAGGAAAGAGAAGAAGAGTGAGTAGCATAGTCTGCATAATTATCTTCTTCCCATATCAGCTTCCTAGGCAAGGCAAACCACACACAAGCAGAGCGAAGCTCCTCCACACACCTCAGCCCTGCCCCCCACCCCCACCCCACCCTGTTATGACAACTCCGCTCTGACTGGTGTGGAGGCAAAACCCGAAAACTCAAAACAAGAAGTGAAAGAGTGAAGCCAGGGGGAACGTGGACATCCTCCAGATCCTTACAATATGCATACTGGCACTTCCAGGGCCTTGGTGTCTCCCAGAGACTTTAGGAGACAGCGTAAAGAAACAGATGTTCCTCTGCCCAGGCTTTTTCTTCCCACAAAGTCCGGGTTGACTAATGATAGAAACAGGAGCGGGTTGTTAGGAAGTTCAAGGCAAACAAGCTCCCATGTACTACAGAACTGGGCGCCATTCTAAACTCTCTAACTGGCCTTTGGGTTCTGGGGTCTGTGATGGTGTAAACCTGGGAAAAGTCAGGGAGAAATGCAAGCTATCCATCTACTCCAGCCACTCTGACCCGCCTTATGGGTGAGCCGGATTCTGGAGCTATCTGAAAGAGACTTTGCAGCCCAAGGCTTTGGCCAAGCCCCTGACCATTTTTTGGGTTGGGGGCAAGGGGAAAAAAATCACAGGGGGCGGAGGCCAACCCCGTGAGAAGTACCCGCCTCAGTTTGGGCAGCAATGATCTTCCTAGAAGATGCCAGCATTCATACATTGGGGTGATTCGCTGATTTCAGCGGAGAGAGCACTGGCTAGGGCCACAGCGACCCACTAAGTTCTCCAGATCCTTTGGGGGCCGTTCTGCCAAGCCGGCAGTGCAGACCTAAGGGTTCCACCACCAACTTTCTGGGAGAAATCTGCCCTCCTAGACTCTGGCCAATTATTGCTAAAACTCCCGGTCCTGAGTTAGGGGAGAAGCAGCGACCCAGACCCCTTTCCGGGTGCACAAAGCAGCAGCGCCAGGCGTGCAGCCCCCTCTCCCGCCGCCCTCCAACTTGCCCGCGCTGCTCTCTGTGCGCCTACCCTCTCGGTCTGCCCCGCGGCGCGCATCCCAGCCGGCAGCTGCGGTAGCTGCAACTGGACGCCCGCCGGGTGGCCTGGCCTCCCCACACCCGGAGCCTACCGTGCAGCCTGGCTCGTGCTCGGGCGGTGCCTAGTGAGCGGCACGCGTCCCAACCGGAGACAGTGCTCTCCCGCGGTTGCCCCGCGCGGAGATCCGGGCTGCGGACCAGGCTGGGCCGGCTCGGCTGCTGGCGGCTCTCTGCTCGCGTCTCCCGCGCGGGCTCCTGCTGCGGCGAGCGAGGAGGGAGGGGTCGGGGAAACTCCTAGCAACTCCAACTCCCGGCTCCAGAGCGCCAGCTGCAGCCTTGCGCCCGCCCGCTGCCGCCGAGTGCGAGCAAGCAAAGCCAACCTGCCCCCGCCGCTGCATGTGAGCATGCCCAGTGCGGCTGTGGGCAAGCCACAGCGCCCTGGCCGGGGGCAAAGATCGTGGCGGAAGGCTCCGGGCTTCGCCGCAGGCCCGCAGCCCGTGGGACAAGTGGGAAGGGAGGTGCCGGGGATCGGGGGCGCTGGCTGGCAAGTGCAAGGCAGTGAGAGCCGCACGGGTTGTGGGAAGTTTGTGGGCTGGAAAGGTGGGCTGCTTCTGCGATGCTCTGCGAGCAAGTATTCAAAGGACAAACAGAAAACAACCTACTACAGGAATGTGGACCCAGCAGGTGGGGTTTTATTCAGTCCCAAGCTTACCAACTGTGACGAAAATCCAAGAGCTAATGGGACCTGGCAAGCCCAGTAGATGAGTAAAGCAGGGAGGAGGAGGCCAGCTTGAGAGAGCTCCCCAGGAAGAGCAGCTGTCCTACTCTCAGAGTCCGAGGCTATCATTGAAAGAATCAGACCTGGATTTGCCGAATTTCATTTCATAAATAAATAAGTGGTTAAAAATATAGCTTTTTCATGCAAAATATCCTGGTTATTGAATCTTGCCAGAGAATTTGAAAAAACAAAAAACAAAAACACTCTAGAGTCTAGACCAAAAGCCCATGGCTGAGTTCAGCGGCTGCTCAGCCAATCTGGACCAAGGAGTTCTGTGAAGAGGTGCTGATTGCCTGCCCACGGTGGTTTAGGAGGCGCTGGAACGGAACCAAGATGATTCAGACTGCCTTCAAAGTGCGACGGGAAATAGATTTTCCAGACAGACTAGAGCTAGTGATAAACGCTGGAGCATTCAGAGGGGTAATTAATGAGAAAAGTGGATTTGAGAAGCAACTTTGAGGACCTTTCAGGAGTATAAACACCTGAATGGGAGCTCACTGCAAGATAAGCTAAACTCAGTCTAGCAGCTAGAGTCCCTCAAAGGTATTTTAGATTCTGAAGCAAAAGTAACATCTTAGTACCAGTCCCGCCTTTATATCAGATTTTGATGTTTTTTCACCATGCATTTTTGCATTGGTTTCTTTCTTTCTTTCTTTCTTTCTTTCTTTCTTTCTTTTTTTTTTTTTTTTTTTTCATAGCGCATGAAAACCTCTAATTACCGAGGCACAGGGAGAGATTTCGAGGGTACAGGGGATTACCTGAAGTTAGGGGATCAGGGATACATAATGGTCCTATCACAAGAAGAAAAATTCAGTACTTAATTATTCTACAGTGAGGAGGGATCTCCAAGGATAACTGAAGGTCACTTTTGGACTAAGATCTTTAGCAGGGTGAGACTTTTCTAGGAATTCCTAGATACTTGCTAGAGCAGTTTCCTTATCAGAGAAGGGCCTGGCCTTCTCTGATTATTTGAGGATTATGTGATGATCCTTACAAGATCTGGAATCACCCTGATCTGGGGATACTCTTAGAACCCCACTGAGAAAAGGGAGTCTATCATCATAGACCGAGCACAAATAATTGGCTACCCAGAGATGACTGACTTCAATATTAAACAAACGTGTGTTAAGGATGAGCCAGACCAAACAAGAAACAGGTTTTTACAATCTCAGAGTTCACAATGGGATCAAATACCTTGAAACAGGAGAGAAAGAGAAAGAGCTTGACAAAAGGAAGGAAAATAAGTCTGGAAGCCTAAGCCCAGCCCAACAGTAAACTGGAGCCTGCTGGATATAGTTCCTTAAGCACCATATCATGTCCGTTCCAAAACAGCCCTGACACATTTTAGTGCACAGCGGGCTTTGGCCTTCCATAAGCTACCTGGACTAATGATTTAAATAACCTTATCACACCCACAGAACAAGATCTTGCCCAAAAGCTGACCTCTTTCTAGAAATTGAGAGTTTGTTTGCTATGGCCTTGACCCTGATGCAAGCATGCTGTAGGCTCTAAAAAGATTGCCTCTTTGTTCATGTTTATTCCCTCACTGAGAGTTACTTATTTTACTAAACAAGAATGTACTTTTAAAAAAAGAATTCTTTTCAGAGTCTGGCATTTTCTAAGGTTATTTTTTAAAAAACTTGGAAATCATAATCCAAGTACTGCTAAAGCATCTTTAAATAAATAAAATAAGTTTCTGGCTCCCACTCAATAGCTGAAAATAACCAGCCACTTTATTCTTTCATTGATAGATGGGTCAATTAAAAACTTGACTCTAGATCAGATTTAAGATGTCGTGTTCACAACAAACATCTTCTAAGTGACATCTTGGGGTCACTCTAATCTCACACTCTAAGACATAATGGAACATGTTTCTAAGGCTTCTGAAAAAGTCGACTTCAATAGTGTCAATGCAGTTGCAATTAATAGAAAGAGTCTATGACCCCAGAGAGGAGCTTCGTGACAAGAACTGGGCTTCACAAAGAGTAGATATGGGTGGGTTGGTGATCTCCACTAGGAGATCCATCCACTAGGAGTGTTGCCTAGATAAAGGGTTTCCTCTTCAGTTCCATGGCCCCTGCTACTAGGAACCTCATCAAAGTCTCCCTCATATCTTCCCAGAGGCATATTCTGATTTAGGTCTGTAGCATGCTGCAGATATGCCCCCACCAACCATTTCTCTTTTCTCTGCAGGCCTTCTGTCCTCCCACCCTACTCTCCTCCATTCTGATCTCCATCCTTGTTTCTCTCTGCACTCCCTCTTCTTCCTTGTTCCCACTCTTTAACAGTTACCTCTGTCTATTCTATTTCACCTTCTGAGTGAGACTTATGCATCCTCCCTTGGGTCCTCTTGTTACTTATCATCTTGGCTTTTGTCCATTATAGTATGTCTATCCTATATTATATGACTAAAATCTGCTTATAAGTGAGTACATACCTTGTGTATTTCTGGGTCTGTGTTACCTCACTCATCACCATCCCACCCACACAAACCTCAGTCCAAAACTTATCCTACCTACAAGACCTACAGGGCCAAAGACAGAACATGTAGAATAGAGATTGAGGGAATGTCCAACCAATGTCAGGCCCAACCATAAGACCTACCCCATGGAAGATAGCCAGCCCCTATTACTATTAACAATACTCTGATATGCTTGCAGAAAGGAGCCTACCAGAGTTGTCCTCTTAAAGGATCTACCCAGCAATAGCTTGAAACAGATACTGAGACTCCCAGCCAAATATTTCGTAAAGCATAGAGAGTCTACTGGAATAGAGGGGGAAAGGATAAATAGACCTAGAAGTGACAAAAGTTCCACAAGAAGACCATCAGAGCCAATCAACCAGGGCCCAGAGGGGCTATGGAGTCTGAAGCACCAACCAAGGACAATGTGTGTTCTAGACCTAGGTTGTACTTATAAATAGCCGATGGCATCTTAGGCCTCATGTGGGCCCACTAGTTAGGAGAGTAGGGGATAGCTCTGTCATGCACTATGTTGCCTGCTTTTTGATCACTTCCCCCTGATGAGACTGCCCTACCACAAGGGAAGAAGAAGAACTCAGTCATCATGTAAATAGGTGAGCTGGGATGTCTGGGTAGGGGGTTCTCCCCTTTTCTGAGGAATAAGAGAGTGGGCTGTGGGAAGGAGGGTAGGACTGGGAGAAGAGGAGGAAGGGCCTATGACAGAAATGTAAATTGTATTAATTTATTACAAAAAAAAAAAGGGAAAAAAAGGAGTAGATACTTTTTTTCCCTAAGCATTTAAAAGGTGTGGCCCAGCTACTGTGTGGGACCTGTGTTTTTGTCCCATGTCTTCAGGAGGCTGAGGCAAGGGGATCTCTTGAACCTAGCCTTAAAAATATAGAGAGACTCCATCTCAAAAGTGAGTAAATACAATAAAAAATGAAAAGGCCTCACTAACTAAGGTTAGTTATTTTAAGGTTACTATGATATATTTTCAAAGAAAACATTGTGGTCCCATGGGACAAAACATTCATCAATTCCATGATTTCTACCTCTGTAAGTTCCCTTTTTTAATGAGAATGTTGTATTAAGGTAATGTGAATTATAATAGCAAAAATGGGTAACATTTTTCAGAAAATGGGCACATAATTAAGTATCCTACTGGTTTAATGCAGTATTATACACGTAAGATATAAAAAAATAAATGAGATAACTGAGAATATTCAAAGCCAGCCTAACTGAGAAAATTCAGAACATGAAATCTATGAAGGTATTATTGCAAGTAATCATATATGCAATGGAAGAAGCTTACTCCAAACTAGACACTGGGAAGACCACTATGCTAGGTAATGGGAATATTGAAGTGAAACCCAAGACCTCATATGTGGATATAGTCCTGTTTTATGAACATAAATGAATGTAGTTCTTGGCATGTGAATCTTAACATAAGACTTCATATGTGAGCTGCATAGTCTTATGAAAGAGAAGACAGTAAGCACGTAAATATATACCTGCAGACTGTGCCTCACATTATGCAATACGAATGTTAACATGTAATGGAAGAACCTAAGTTGTTGGGGGAGGGAATGTTTGTCATATAAGCCTTTTTGAAGAAATAAAGGAAGAATCAATTAGTTGAGGAAAGACTGGGTAATAAGTATTCCAGGTGGGAATAGCAGGAACATTAACACAGAAGAGGGAGAGGATTTGTTGCCATCAAGACACAAGAAAAGGACCAGAGAGATTGGAGCACAGTAAGAGAGTTATGGTGAAGCTCTATATGTGTGGGTGTGGTGGGGGGGGTAGCTACAGATCAGGGGTTTTCATGTATCTTTTCAATGACCTAGGAAGCCACAGAAACTTTATCAGCAAAGGATTGTCCACAAATTCTCCACACTGAAGACCACTCTTAGGGGATGTGGTTAAATAAATTAAACTAAGTGAAGAACAAAAGAAGGAAAAGCCTTTGGAGAACACTGTCATCAGATGCTAGTGCAACTGGTTTAGACTTGACTTGAAACCTGATAAAGGAGGAA